GGGGGGGGCACTGAGGATGCAATTCGGTTGGTAAACTATTTGCCTAACCTGCAAGAAGCCCTGGTTTTGAAACTCCAGCATCACATCAAACTCTGTGTGGTGCCACATGTGTTATAATCTCAGCACTCAGGAGGTAGAGGCAGGAGGATCAGAACCTCAACGTCATCCTCAGCTACAAAGAAAATGGGAGTCCAGCCTGACACATGAGACACTGTTTGAAAGACATAGTAGCTCTCCTTTCTTTTTTCTTTGTTCAAGGCTTCATCCCTCTCCCGTTTCTGTGCCCTGGAATTCATTGTGTAGCCATTTGGTCTCAAACTCATGGCAGTTCTGTATCAGCCACCTATGAACATGGATCATACACATGAGCTCCGAAGCCCAATTTTATATAGAATATCTTGCTATGAAAGAGTACCTTAGCATATATTTTTCCACAATTCTGTAAATACATACTCTTTATAGTGTAACATGCTTACGTGCAACTTTGGGGAATATGATTAAATGTTAATTGTCAGACCCAATGCTAAAAATTCAAAACCAGTTGGGCTCTTAGTTTTATACACATAACCCAGACACTCTTATTAATGTCAGCTCCAGGATTTGGAAAAGGCAGTAAAGTAATCGAATCCAGGGGAGACTCTGGGAAGGGAGCTCAGGAGAACTCAGTGGCAGTCCTTTACAAGACTGAACTGGAGAGAAGACCTTGCGAATCTTCCAAAGGTAGTGAATGGCATGCATTCAGTGTGCCATCTGGCCTGCCTTCACCTACTTTGCCAGCACTCCAATCCAAAGCCTTTCTCTTTTGCCACCATGCACATTCAGAGTCCCTGGCTGTCATGTCCAGAAAGAAGGACCCTCCTTGGGGAGCTCTCCCTTCTACCCCACCCCATTGTTCATAACTTGTTGTTGGCCAGAAATGAATGGCATTTCTCGGAATTTGCCCAGGAATTTCTGCTGATAAACAAATGAAACTCTCAAAGGAAAAAGCAATCAACATAGTTTGAAGTATCAGTGTTTTCAACTTAGTTTGTTTTCAACTTGGTTTGAAATAAGAGTCATATCTATGGTATTTTAAGGAACGGATTAGTGAAATCTCCTTTAGTGGGTTGTCAAACTAGTTGTAGGCCTAACTCTTCAACTAGGACCTGACTTTTGCTCCAGTTTGCAGAAGAGGTGATTATTACACTGATTTCCTGTGATCTATCGGTGCCTCCAAATCTTATTAAGCCTTGCATATCCCCCATTTCCTTGTTAAGTTCTGACACCCGACGTTGTCACTCTTTCAGCATTGTTCTTTCCATGCAAACCTAGATTCCTGATATATTAATGCACTTGTCGTGTGTGTGTGTGTGTTTGTGTGTGTCTGTGTGTCTGCGAGAGAGAAAGGGGGGAAAAGATAGGGTTTGGGGAGAGAGATGCATATGTTCATATGAGTGTGTACATATGGGTGTGAACATATGTACATGCATATTTGTGTATGTAGGCAGAAGTTGATGCTAGCTATCTCTCTCTATTACTGTCCACTTGCTTTTTTTTAGAATGAAGTGTCTGGGCATATATACTAAAGAGCTATACCCCATTTTTAATTGAGAACATGTACTGTGAAGAAATTTGAGAAGAGTTGGTAACAAAGCTCAGAAATAATGAGATAACCAAGGACTCTTAGAGGAATCAGGCAAATGTTGGTTTTTCAGAGCACATGCCCTGTGTGTTGAAGAAGATTCCAAAAACCAACAGGGACGGTGACAAAGATTATCAAGACAAAAGCAGCTAGAGTTAAAGAATATGAAATGCTGAATTTTGAAAAACACAAAAACTCCTTATTTATACCTCCGAGGAATCGCCAGAGAAACTTCTGTTAGAAACCGATTAGCAAAAGCTCTGGGGACATTCACAGTCCTAGAAATGTGCCCACGTTTCCCATTGTCTGGAGGAATATATTCCTGAAAGTGCTTTCCCTGCCATTGCTTTCTGAGGGAAATCATGTCTAGGGTCATTCAATATAATTTTTTATTATAAAAAGATAATTAAAGGATTATATTATCAAGCCAATGAGGCAATGTTGAAGGAAAACTGTAATTACTAAGCTTGCTGAAAGAAATACTGAGGGGACTCCAACAGGTTCAGAAAGGTTAATGACTTTTGCCTTCTGTCTCCAAAAGGGGAAAATGGACAGAAATGAGCTTCAGCACAAGGAGGTACTTCTAGGCTTTAGTAGGAGAGCAGGCGCTATTGCAGCTCAATCTTGATATTAAGTATAAGCAAGATATGCATGTGAGTCAAAATAGAGTGGTGACAACGCTTAGTACATAGGGGAGGTATTTACTAGGGCTGCCACGGCAATTATTGCATTTGCTAGGTGACTATCCGGAGAATTGGTGTAAAATCATCCATGCAACTGTACTTTTGTGCTTTCAATATACATGTCATATTTCTCAGGTTTACATATTTTGATCACATGACATTTGCATTTGTTTGGAATGGTGGGATTAGAGGCAGGGGCATGTTGGAACCAGCCATAGGATCCTGTGTGCGCATACACTTCTCTGTGTCATGGTTTGTATGACTTTGGTCTCCTTGGTGTTTAATTTGTTCCATCTCTTCTCTCTTCCTTCTACCCCCTTTCCTCTGTTATCCTGCTTTACTCCTTCCTCTTCTCCCTCTTCCCCTCTTCCTTCCCCAACAATTAAACTTAGCAATCGTAAAGTCTAAGAGCTACAGAAGGACATGCTCTCTAAGTGGGCTCTTCAATATGCACAGAGGTATTTGGCTCCATTTGGAACCATGACCTCCAAGCTGCAGAGGGCACAGTATGTTGATGTCTGCATAAAGGCATCTAGTTCCAGGCATAGGTTCAGAGTGTTCTTTTTGTTTCCAGAAAGTCTAACTGAACAAGATTCCTTTTAGGAGAGAGGGAATATTTGTCATAACAAGGATCAGGTTCTCCCCCACCTAAAGATGTGTTGTGTTGTTAGAGAGGAAAGGCAAGGGTCTAGCCCTAGTCTCTCCACAGTTGACTGAAAATTTTACAGAGTGTGTTAGCCTCTTTGTACCCTTCTGGTCAACTTGTAAAATGTGTGATAATTATTATTTCTACCGAAGCTTGTATTGATATGAAAAAAGGGGAAGATGATAGAGGACATTCTTTTGAAAAATGCTAAAAGCGCTAGTGTATTCATTTCTTTTCTGTCACTGAAACAAAAGACCTGAAAGGCAACTTTGGGGAGGAAATATTCATCTTGGCTCACAGTTTCAGAGAGATGTAGTAGACCACTGAAGACAAACGGTTGTATATACAGAGTGGTGGAAAAGGCATGGAGCAGCAGTTTGTGAAGACAGGAGCGTAGAGTAGCTGTTTATTCCATGGCATAGACAAAGAGGTAGGGAGCTAGGTCAGAGCCTGAAGCAGATAACACCTTCAAAATACTAGCCCTATAGGCCCTGTGCCCCAAATGTTCTGCAGCCTCCCAAAATATTACTGCTAAGTGGACACTAAATATTTGAACACATGGGTCTAGGGAAGACCTTTCAGTCTTAAAGTATAACATATATATATATATATATGTTAGTATATATAACATATATATATATATAAGTATAACATATATATATAACATATATATATATATATATATATATATATATATATATATATATATATATATATATGCTTGACAATGTTACATCACTGGAAGGAGGAAGGAGGGAGGAGGTTAAACCCAGGGTCCCAATACTGCATGTGAACATGTCTCCACTTGGTAAATGAGAACCTTGACATTTGGTATTTACTGTCCAGAAACAGACACTGATCATGTGTCTCCAACTCCAGGGGAATGATTTGTGGGGATGCAAGGAAATGGGTGACAGGTTTTATGACAGTCAAGAAGACAACATGGAATCACTGGCATCACTGTGTCTGGCCTTTCTTCTGATGAGGTTCTGACAGGTACCTTCAGTCATATACCTCATCATAATGCTAACTTCAGAAAGCAGAGACGTGTGGTGATAGAGAGAACACACTTGGAGATAAGGTGAAAAATCTCTGTACTTCCTTGAAATCTTGAATTAAGAGAGTGATTTAACTTGACTAGGCTGGACTCCTCTACCACCATTATAATTAAAACATTCTTTGCTTTGAGCTTTTGTACAAGGATTAGGCTGACATAATTTCTGTATGCTGCCTAAGACTGCTTTGCTCCCTCCTTTTTCACTATTTTTCTACTCTGGCTGGAGCCTGCCATCTAGCATTTCTTCCAGGAACATAGCCTGACTCTTCAAAGAGTATCTCAGAGCTTGGGGCGGGAGTGGAGGAAAGATCCCTTGCTACAGTGCTACTTCCAAGTCTAGGAGGATCAATCTCTTTTCTTTCTGTTGGGGCTTTGCAAGTGCCTTGGTTGTCACAATGTTATCAGGGGAAATGTCATCCACATTTAGCAAGTTGCAGCTAGGGTGATATTCAGAATTCTATAACGAATAAAATCATAATGCAATAAAGAAGTGTTCCATACAAAATTCTACTGCTGTCCCTGTTGAGAAACACCAGAGTGGACAACACCCTTAACCACAGAAACAAAAAGCTGTCTACTCCTAATAAGAATTCAATGGTCTGGGTCCTTCCTTTCTTCACTCTCATATATTCATTTCACAAACATTGAGAGAGTACAAGATTTGAAAAAAGTTTCTGATATGTTTCACAGTTCCTGTTTCAAGGAGCTTATCATCTAATGGGGTACACAGGTATAAACAATATTATTAAAAGAGGATATGGTGAGTGCTACAGTAGATGTGCAAACGAGGTCTATATAGGTGGAAAAATCTATCAAAGGCAGGCAAAGCCTCAGAGAGGAGTTGATATGAGACTGGATTCTGACAGACAAATGGATATTGCCAGGTGGTGATAAGGTGTTGAGGAGAGGATATGCAAAGGCATTTGTGTAACATGTGACCAGCTAATCACAGTTCATGCAGGAAGAAGCTGGAAGGTCAAGTGGATAAAGGCCAGTCTTGGGGGATTTTACCTGTTTTGTGGTTGGGCATTGTTTTGTAGAGCCCAATACAAAGTATGGAGTAAATAAAGTTTTAGTAAATTCCATAAATCTTCCTACATTTTTCCTCTTATCTTGAAGTTCCTTTCATCCAAATCTCTCTCCAGCCACTCAGCACTTGCAGTCACTAACGTCTGATGAGAATGAGCCAGTTATTGACAATTGACAGAACAAATGATACTGAATTTCAGTAAGAATTCAAGAATATTTCATGTGACTTTGGAGAGAACACACTGAATGACTGGGCGCTGAGAATAATGAAGACAGACACCACCTTCATTTTAACATGCTTGATATGAGGATAAGCGTGTGTGTGTGTGTGTGTGTGTGTGTGTGTGTGTGTGTGTGTGTGTGATGGTACCATAGTAATTCCTACCTCAGAGGACTGTTGTGAGGATTATCTGAAGTAATGTATAAGGGCCATAGCACAGATGTTATCTGGCCAACAGTATGCCTTCAATGAATTGAAGTTATCCTGTTGTTATTTCAGGCTAGAGTTTAGTATGGAGAAGTGGAAACATGTGCTGACCAAAATAAGGATTTTGTTCTAAGAGTTACTAACTATGTCTTGTCAGTTTCAGTTATATCCTTATGCATCCGAACTCTTGGACATATAATTTTCACTGTTTTGTTGTCAGAGTGTAGATATTCTTGTGTGGGAACATAGCATTATTT